GGGAGCCCGATGTGGGACTCGATCCCAGGACCCTGGGATCATGACCTGAGCCGAAGGCAGTCGCTTAACCAACTGAGCCACCCAGGCGCCCCAAGACTTGAATTTTAAATCTAGGATTTATATTCTATTTTTAAGGAAAAGGCCTAATGCATGCCTTTTCCGTAAATATCTACTGAGCACCTATGGGGTGCCAGCATCGTAGTAAGAGAACCCCAAAGTAAAATTCCTACCCCAAGGGAACTAAATCAACGAGGTTCATAGGCGTCTTTACAGTATACTAGTAATAACACATGATGGACCCCTAATAAACGTTCGTTGAATGAATATGTGAATTTTCCATCAAAAGTATTTATTTATTCAAACTCTCATTTCACAGAGGATTAGCCTTGTTCTGTTCATTCATCATAAATGTATCATACTTTATCACTTCCAAGACACATATTGCTCACCTTTCAACAACTCTGCAATCAGAATGAGACTTCCTAGCAATGTGATTTTTAAAGTATTGTTTCATAGACAATTTGCAGCATTTTCTTTTATAGTGATAAATAAAGTAACAGTATGTTTTACACTGATGACATCTTTGAATGAAATACAATATATATTATATTTTCTATATTTTAGAAAATACATATGAATATTTAGGCATGTTTCCACTAGGGTTCAATCAGAAAAAGTTTTCATGGAGCCACACCATTCAATGAACATTCGAGCCTCCAGTGATCATATGAAATCCACAACTACTAATGTATAAATGTCAAAAACAATAGCTGACAAGTAACTTTATAAAAACTTGCATATTTATGAGGGTTTATTTCTCAAATTTTCAAGATTACTATTGAATGTTAATCATGTATCTCCTATTTTGGACTTAATGCAAGGCATAAGTATACATAAAAATTATGGGCATATCTAATCATTTATGTACTTAAAGGATTTTCGTATTTTAGTGTTTGAATTTAACCAAGATTTCAAAGGTCTAAGAAATATGAAAATGACTAAACTATATAGGAACACCTGAGAAGTGATAAAATAAACACTAATAAAAACTTATAGGAGAGGGGCGCCTGGGTGGCTCAGTTGGTTAAGCGACTGCCTTCGGCTCAGGTCATGATCCTGGAGTCCCGGGATCGAGTCCCGCATCGGGCT